GCATAAATAAATATGATGAAAAGTGATAATCCAGTACAACAGAATGCAGGTGCCATTAGGCATTTTACATCGCGGGTGTCAAACTCGATCACGTCACGTGACGTATCCCGACATATCGTGATGGTTTTTTTGCCTTTGCAGAGCCGGGGTGGGCGTGGCCTGTGCGTGACGCATCCGGCCTGCGGGCCGCCAGTTTGAGACCCCTGTTTTACACGAAGGCAGCATTCCCTCGACTGATTTCTAGTCTGAAGTTCTACCGTTTCAGTCAATCCATTAGCTGAGTGGACAGTTCTGCCTATTTTGATTTCTATACAAGCTTGTAGAAAGAAATAACCTTCACAAAGCAACGCTTTTGCTGTGCACTGGAGCTAGAGAAAAAACAACAACCCAGGCATATACAGAAAGTGGGACTTGCTTGCATAGTAAGCCTATTTGTAGTTACGTGAGGAAAATAGGAAGAGGAAGGAACATTTTGTGCGTCCACCACCTTATTTGTGAATGAATGAATGAATGAATGAATGAAACTGATTAAAAATTAATTTTAACCAAACTCATTAGTAACATTAATTCATTAAAATGTAAGCTAATGTGAATAAAGAATTATTCACATAGTTCTTATGCTTCCTCTTGGAAAAGATTCAGTAATCATGTTTCTGTTCCCATAACTAAACATTGGAATCTTTCAATTTCAATCTATAGTTTGGCAAATTTTTGTAGAACCTAATTGATCTTGCTTTTGTCCCTACTTTTATTTGTGTTTACTCCTGCCATGAACAGGGGGTTGGACTAGAAGACCTCTGAAGCCCCCTCCAGCTCTATGATTCAACCTCGCTCAGCTGCTCCATTTAAAGCTTAGGCTGTGCAATTCCTATGTAGATATGCAAGTCAGCTCTCTTTGTGTTAAAGAAAAAGCAGTGCTTAAGATAGCAAAAAATGATTCTTAATGTTTTGTCTGTTTTTACTTGATCAGTGGGGTGCCCTTTTGCAGATCTTTATATCAAGAGTATCATTCCAATCTCTTAAATTTCAATTGTGTGGGAAATGGTTTTGTATTGAAAGACTGAGGGATTGAGCAGCATTTAATAAAGTCTTTAAAGCTAATTGAAAATATTAAGGGTGGTTTTATAATAACCACTTAACTAAACTTCTATTCTACTGAGCCATGATAACACTATTTTTTTTTTAACCCTCATTTTTTCGCTACTCATTTACAGCCCTTGTTTTTTCCCTCTTGGCTTACCGAGTAATGGAATGTTATAGGTCAGAGAAAGTGAAATCCTGTCAATTTCCACCTTGCCCCTATTAAGGAGGTTATGCATTTCTGACTGAACCCACCAATTTCCCTCTAATGCTCACTAAAGGGCATTAAGTCTTTATCCATATTAGGTTAAAAACGAGGTTGGATAATGCCACCGTATGTATATATATATATATATTTTTTTCCCTTCAAAACTGTTCGCAAATAACACGTTTCATTTTGCGTCAAGAGATACTCTGCTCCAGAACAATAAAGGTACTTAACTAAAAGGTTGCAACAGCGGCAGCAGCTGCTGCCAGATGAGGAAGCTTAGCATAATTGTGTTCTAATTTTTCAGCACTTTTGAAACTTACTTTGTATATACTGACAAATGACCCAAGGAAAGCTCCAAGCTGGAAATTTTCTTTGTTGTAGAAAAGTGAGAGAAGCCGGGATGGTTTGGTAAACAGATGTCGGAACGTGGATGGGATGTGAAGGCAACACTGGATCAAGTATCCAACGCTAAACATCCTAATGAAGCCCTAGAAAAGATATTAAGAAAGTGCCATTGAGGGAAAAACAGTGTCAGGAATTCCACAAATGAGCTTCACAAGGAATAACTGAAATATGTGCTCGCCAGGAACTATTATTTCCGCTCTTTGCTAAATACCCTTGTTCTTCCAATTTGTTTTTATCTCAAAATGTTATTATTGGATCAGTCTGGTTTGTATTTCCCAGATAGTCTGGACAGTATATTGTGGTAGTCCTCTACTTACGACCATAATTGAGCCTCAAATTTCTGTTGTTAAGTAAGACATTTGTTAAGTGAATTTTGCCCCATTTTATGAGCTTTCTTGCCTCGGTTGTTAAGTGAATCACTGCAGTTGGTAAGTTAGTAACCCGGCTGTTAAGTGAGTCGGACTTCCTCCATTGACTTTGCTTGTCAAAAGGTCGCAAAAGGGGATCACGTGAGCCCGGGACACAGCAGAGGGTCATTAAATACGAACCAGTTTGCCCAACATCTGAATTTTGATCGCCTGATCATGGGAATGCTGGAAAGGTCGTAACTGTGAAAAATGTCCATAAGTCAGTTTTTTCAGTGCCGTTGTAACTTTGAACGGTCACTACACAAATTGTTGTAAGTCGAGGACTACCTGTATAGGTACACCTCAACTTACAACCATTCGTTTAGTGACTGTTTGAAGTTACAACGGCACTTATGACCATTTTTCACACTTACGACCACTGCAGCATCCCCATGGCCACGTGATTAAAATTTGGGAGTTGAGCAAATTTAGTTTAGTTTAGGACAGTTGCAGCATCCCGAAGTTATGTGATCCTCATGGAAACCCTCCCAGCTGGCTTCCGACAAATAAGTCAATGGGGGAAGCCAGATTCACTTAATAACCACGTGATTTACTTAACAACCACAAGGAGTCACTTAACAAGAGGGCCAAAATAGATTGTAAAATGGGGTACAATTCATTTAACAACTGTCTTGTTTAGCAATGGAAATTTTGGGCGTCATTGTGACCCTGTAAGTCGAGAACTATCTGTATGAACTCTAGCCCTTTTTAGATGTTTTGAAATAACTATCATTTTTTTCCTTTTATCTCATTTAAGGCTGACTTTGGTGTTTTATTTGTTGGTCTATGACCCAATAAAGATTTGGTTTGATTTCAGCTTCATTATAAAACACGCTTTTAATGTCAAGACTTGACATGGACAGATTTCATTTCTACCTGGAAGCCATAGATCTGAAACCATGCTGTATTTACAAAGTTTTCAATTTAGGAGAAAGAATAGTTACTGGCTGACATTACTTTTCCTCTAGAAACCTCCAAATTGTTGTTGGCTCTTCTCTTTTTGGACACCTTTACAAAAATCTTGGGAGGCCAATGAGGCTTGGAGAGGCTGATTGATTTACCCAAAGAGGTCTCTGAAACTGACATTGTTGGGACTGAGTAACAATCTGAACCTAGGTCAGCTCTGTCCCAGTGCTACACAGAATGCTCTAGGCCAAGGGTAGGCAACCTTGGCTCTTTTATGACTCGTGGACTTCAACTCCCAGAATTCCTGAGCCAGCCTTGCTGGCTCAGGAATTCTGGGAGTTGAAGTCCACGAGTCATAAAAGAGCCAAGGTTGCCTACCCCTGCTCTAGGCTATCATAACTCTCCAAACATTCAATAACTCCTTGGGGAAGAATGAACTTCTTGATTCCCAGCTCAGCTATTTATTTTTAGTAGACCTTGAGCATTTCCTTTTCTTGGAGTAATTTGGGCAGCTACATGGAATCGCTGGTAGCACTGCAGATAAAAATTACAAAACAAGCAGCTGGAGGAATATTTCATTAACTCATCACACACCCTTCCCTGGCATCTGAAAAGCAGCCTGTTACATTTCCCCTCTCTCTTGTGAATCAATTTGTCCAAACAAATTAGCTCTATCAGTCAATTCATCTCTGCTTCGCCTTAGTGGCGCTGGGGCCTTTTAAGTTCGAGGCATTCGTTTCACTCAAAACAGAAAGTCACATCTCTTGCTCCTTAGTACCATTCCCGTGGACCAAACCTCAGTTACCGGGTTGTGAAACAGAAAGGGAAACATTGCGGTGAGAAAGATCTTCCAGTCTTCTCACAAAGTTAATATTGGGATGGGGGGGGAAATGTGACCAGGGGATTTGGGCAGCCTGGTGCAATGTAGGCCATTGGAGGTGGCTAGTGAATGTTCCAAAATGGTGGTGTCTGTGCGAGCACAAAGCCATCGGCGTGAATGCACCAAGACCACAATGTTTAAGTGAAAAAACTCAGAACACAAAGATATTTATGAAAGAATAGGAACTAGAATTCACACTCGAACACTTTCAAGTCTTCAGTTCTTTCAGGAACTACTTTGCAAGGGATACACCAGAGCAGTGGTTCTCAACATTTTTAATGCCGCGACCCCAACCGGTCGTAAGTCAAGGACTAAACCGGTCATAGGTCGAGGACTAAACCGGTCGTAGGTCGAGGACTAGACTAGTCGTAAGTCGAGGACTACCTAACCGGTCGTAAGTCGAGGACTTTCCCTGCCCGGGAGCGCCGCGCACGTGCGGTTCCGCCCCCTGCGCCGGCCGAGGCGTATCTGGCAAGCGGCAGAGACGGAGCAGGCCGACCACCAGCTGGCCCAGCCCAAGGGAGGTAAGGCACCCGCCGGAAAAGGGGGGAAAAAATGGTGGACAAAAAAAATGGCGGACAAAAAAAATGGTGGACAGCCTTGCTTGGCGACCCCCGTGAAATGGTCGATCGACCCCAAATGGGGTCCCGACCCACAGGTTGAGAACCACTGCACCAGGGCGAAAGGAGATTTAGGTGTTGTAAAGAGTTCCAATCAATGCTAATTAGCGGATTGAATGATTTGTTTCAATATCTAGTCCACTTTCAGGGCTCTGAATACGCGTACATGCTATTCTCTAGAAGGGGGCACGCTGGCCTAATGGTTAAGACGCTGGGCTTGTCAACCAGAAGCTTGGCAGTTTGAGACCCAAGGGCCACGTGATGGATGAGCTCCCGTTCTTGCCTCAGCTCCTGTCAATCTAGCAGTTCAAAAGCATGCAAATGCAAGAAGATAAATAGGTACCAATTCGGTGGGAAGTTAAGAGCATTCCTTGTGTTTTGGCATATAGTCATGTTGGCCACATAATGATGGAAGTGTCTTCAGACAATGCTGGCTCCCTCAACTAAGAAATGGAGATGAGCACACACACACACACATACACCCAGAGTTGGACCCGACTGGACAAGGGAAACCTTTATTTTTACTTTTGTTATTCAGACCTAGCACCTGCCTTTCAGATTTACAGCTCTCAGAATAAGTGACTATTTCTTGTACAGTACTTCTTCACACAGTATGACCTCAACTCATTGAGAATACAGAGGAACATTTGCTTCTAGTACCTTGGCAGCTAGTAACGTTGTTTGAGAATGGGGAAGTTTGTCTAAAATTTCATATTTACTTGAAACTCGGTATTCTGCGAGCAAGGAGGAGAAAGACCTGTTTTAGCAGTGATGTCAGCAAGTAGCAAAAACAATAATGCCATAAAAGGCTCAGGTGCTAAGAAGGGTGGGCAAGATCATAGATGTCTACTCATCCATCTGGTGTCATTGTCTGTCTTACCTCTGTTTGCTCTACGTATCTCCATGTCATTTCCATACACCATAACGCTTTTCGGGAATGTTCTTCCCACCTTCCACTTATGCGTTAAAGCAGCATTTTAAAAACTTGGCAACTTTAAGATGTGTGGACTTCAACTCCTTGAATTGCTGGCTGGAAGTCTAGAAAATTGAAATCCGCATATCTTAAAGTTGCCACGTTTGAAAAACATTGTAGATTTTTGCTGTCCTCTTTCTAATGGCCTGCCAGTCTGAACATTTCTTTTAGCTGTCAAGTAATGTGATTCTTGGGGATCTGTAGGAGTCCTTTGTAAGGCTGTCAAATCAGATTTCTAAACCCTTCTCTCTCACACATAAACTAGTGTCAACATGGCTAAGTGCAAGAGCATAGTACAACTTATCAGAAAGCAAACAGCTCCAGATGACTCAAGCTACTAAACGGAGCCAAGCCACACAGTGAAGAAAAAGGCAAAACAATTTCAGAGTCATTAACCTCAAGGAAAATTCCTTTTCGACCCCAAATGCAGATAAAAGTTGTACATGTAAAAACAGTTTAAAGAAATTAGTATTTTTGCAGAGTTAATTTCTTTCCTATCTAAAAAAAACTGGATCCCTCAACTAGGAAATGGAGACAAGCAACACCCCTAGAATTGGACACAACTGGATAGGGGGAACCTCTACTTTTCTCCATCTAAATGTACTGGATGACCACAAATTCATTTAGAATACAGGTAGTCCTTGACTTATGACCACAATTCAGCCCAAAATTTCTGTTGCTAAGCAAAAAAAAAAAGTTGAGTGAATTTTGCCCCATTTTATGACTTTTCTGGCCACCGTTAAGTGAACTGCTGCAGTTGTTAAATTAGTAACATGGTTGTTAAGTGAATCTGGCTCCCCCATTGACTTTGCTTGTTTAGAAGGTCACAAAAGGGGATCACGTGACCCTGGGACAACGCAACCATCATAAATATGAGCCAGTTGCCAAACATCTGAATTTTGATTACATGACCGTGGGGATACTGCAACGGTCATAAATGTGAAAAATGGTCATGTCATTTTTTTCCAGTACTGTTGTAACTTCAAACAGTCACTAAACGAACCATTGTAAGTCAAGAACTACCTGTACAAAGATTGTGAGTTTCACTCAACTTAATGCAACTAGCAGGCAGTTAGTTAAAGGTGAAGAACCTGGATATTCTGGGGGACATCAGATCTCTCTACCAATTGTGTGAAGCACAATCTGATTTTATTTCTTTATATCCTCTAGCCAAGACATTTTAAATGGCTGGCAGGAAGGAACGTGTTGTCTTGTGCAAGAGATTTAATGTACTTTTCTCTTCCAGCATTAGAAAAATGCAGTTAATTGATTAGGCGCAATTGCTAGAAGTAAACAAAACAACACAAACCCACACATTTTTTTTCAATCCGATCCAATGTCTCTAAAATAATATTTATTTTGTCGTAGTTAACTAGAATAATAAAATTTTCTCGAGTACTTAAAGATAGAAAGGGGTCAATTATAGGTTGCCCCACTTTGTTCACTGGTGAAGGAGGGAATGCCAGAAAAATGTGACGCATAAAAAAGTACAGCAATGGCAAGTCAACCTCTTTGGCAGGAAGAAAAGCTATGACAGATTAGAAAAACTGCTAGTAGCTATCCTTTCCAGAATAAAGAGGCAACTGTTCCATTAAGAAAATAAAACCACATCAGGCTTTCCTTAGCAAACAGCTGCTGCCGATTCCGTCCAAAGATCGCCTTAGAAAAATATCAGAATTGCTGGTCTTCCTCTAAAAATCACAATCCACATGTTTCCAACCAGAAGGAAATGACCTAAAATACTGATTTTTTTTTTGCCTCAATTAATATAAAATAAGGCCATTAATCCAGAAAGGCCAACACTGCCAGGATTCCGTTTGGCTACAGTTTCTTAACATGAAGAAGGCATCACCCCTGTTCCGGGTGAGTCCGTGGCTCTTACATCTATTTAATTTTTGTAATTGTAATTCTTCCTATATTTATAATTGTGTTTATATCTCTATTTTTAATTGTATTTTAAGCTGCCCAGAGTCACTCTGGACAGCGAGATGGGCAGCATATAAATTGAACCAATAAGTAATAAATAAGCAGGCAGGTTTCCTTTTAAACACTCCGCTTTCAACATGTGGCAGTCCAGATGTGCCTGAACCACAGCTTCCAGGCTCTTCAAAGAAGTAAGAAATGAAAAACAACTCCTAGGAAAGAGAAGATTTTAAAGGAAAAAGGGAGGCTGCAAATGATCCTGGGGACAATGGACAGGACTGTAGGGACACCAGCCTCCAAAAGAACCATGACTTCAAAGGATAAGTATCAGGTGTGGCCTCCAGAATCAGGGACAAAGAAGGACTATCCAGTTTCCAACTTATATGGAAATTTTAATCCTGTACTTCACAACACGTCCAAGCTAACAAGAAAAGTGTACAAACAGATGAATGTCTGATGACATCACCTGCTAGAACAAGTGGCACAGACTTCTTAGGAACTCCAAGTTTACCAGTCCTGTTAGAATCAGACGGGCAGCAAAGTTGTCAAGGATAAAGAAGATCCAAGTCTTTTAGGGATCATGAGGTACATAAACTCCAGAATCGATGAATGGGGAGAAATAACAAGAGTAGACACACACTCTCTCTCTTGTCCTGCTCAAGATTTCCCAAAGGACTTGGTTGATTATTGTGAGAAAGGGAACACACTACACCACTTACAATGACCCTTTCAATTTCTTGACTTTCAGGGAGGTTGTCTTCTATTTTTAAACAGAGCATTTAAAAAATCTTGATGATTTATTTATAGTGCTGATTACGGTGTATTACTTTACAAGGTCAGGGTACAAGAATTTTGGGTGTGATTAAACAGGCCAGTGTGTGCGGGTAGCAAAGATGGAAGTAATTGATGAAAATATGCCTATGCAATGAAATTTAAGCCCACTTACGTGAGACTTAAAACAGACTATTGTGAACGAAGTCAATGCGTAAGTTGCAACTAAAGCGGACCAACAACAGCCTCTTGTGTTGAGTACTAGATGTTTGGATTGTACTGGGTATGTGGCTGGTTGTAATCTGCTACGGTACAAGAGCTGACACACAGGAAGTAGAAAAGACTTGCTCAGCACAAAAACTCAACAAACCCACTTTGTCAAAATGTCCAAGCTACTGAATTGCATCTTGTCTTCCATAGGCTGGTTTATTATTTTTTTTAACCTACTGTTGAAAAACCAAACCACTTAACTCTGAATGGAAGAAATAACAGGGCAAATAAAACATTTTCCTTCAAAAGCCAGTTTGCCCAATAAATATTACTTTCAAAATCCAAATTTAAAATCTGCCGGAGTCCCACCAAAGCAAGTAGAAGCAGGTGTGCCCACTTATCCTAATCAAATTCCAGCCAAAATAATTTCCCTGCAGTTATGGAAAGAAAACACTTACTAATCACATTCTGGGCAAGAATAATTTCTACCCCTGGACAACGATTGCTCTTCCTGTAAGCAACAACTGTGGATTTTCTCCCATTAGCTTTAAACTACATTCACAGGTTGACTTCAAAAAACAATTGTCCCAATGCGTAGAGCAGTGTTTCTCAACCTTGACAATTTTAAGGCATGTGGACTTCAACTCCCAGAATTCCACAGCCAGGTTGAGAAACACTGGCATAGAGAGAGACACAGCTGTATGGATGCTGCTAACTTGAGCTGCTGAGCATAGCACATTCCCAATATTTGAGCTGATATGAGGGAACGGTTGTATGTGGGATCTGTTACATACTTTCTGGGCATGATTAAATTAGTCAATACACACAAGATCTCGCTTTTCACTCACTTTAAGAGTTTACCGTTGATACTAATGGATTGTTTCTTCCACCTACAAGGCAACAGCAGCCCCAAAGGAAAGAGTCGCTTGTAAAGCAACATTCTTTTGAAGATGCTTGCTTAAGGAGGGTGGTCACCCAAAAAAAATGCTCTAACTAGAGTTGCAGAAGCTGCTAGTTCACTGCACCTGTTAGTGTAAACCTCCTGATGAGAAGGAAGGACTCACTGGAGAAGGGCCTGATGCTGGGAAAGATTGAGGGCAATAGAAGAAGGGGACGACAGAGAATGAGGTGGCTGGATGGAGTCACTGAAGCAGTAGGCGTGAACTTAAATGGACTCCAGAAGATGGTAGAGGGCAGGAAGGCCTGGAGGAACGTTGTCCATGGGGTCGCGATGGGTCGGACACGACTTCACAATTAACAACAACAACCTGATGCTTTACTTCAAAAAAAATACAGTTACTTCAATTGTTAACAATCCAGTATTTTCTCCATCACAGCAATCAAGCAAATGCCTCAAAATAATCAAGGCTGGAAAGCCATTTTGTTTGTCCTGTGGCTATAGTGTTATGAGGGATAAAATCTCTACTCAACTTATACTAAGGCGGGGTGTCCAACCTTGGCAACTTAAAAACCTGTGGACTTCAACTCCTAGAATTTCCCAGCCAGCATGGCTGGCCGAGGAATTCTGGGAGTTGAAGTCCCTAAGTCTTAAAGTTGCCAAGGTTGAATACCCCGCTCTAAGAGATTGTTTAAATGTGTCCTGGTTTTTTGGGAGGAAAAACTTAAAAGAAGATGAGACAGTTATTGGGAAAAAGAATTCTTTTGAAAGGCATCGCTAAGGCACCTAGAATTACAGTAGTCCTTGACTTACAACCATTACTGAGCCTACCAATTATGATCATAAATCATGACAGTTGTAAAGTGGGTCACACAGGCAACCAACCTGAATTTACGCCTTTTTTGTGGTGGTTATTAAGCAAACACCACGGTCATTAAGTGAAGCTATTGTTTGCCATGGGACCCTTTTCCCAGAAACTGGAAGTAAACCCTGTTTGTGGGAGGGGCGGGGAAATACTGTAAACTGGTCATGTGCAAATGGCCATAAATGTGGGTCACATGCCAAAGGTTTGAAATGTGACCACATGACCGTGGGGAGTGAGGGAATTTTGGAACCAGTTCATAAATATCTTTTTTGGAGGGGGGGGGTCATTATAACTTTGAAAGATCGCTAAGTAACTGGTCGTAAGTCGAGGATTACCTGTATAAAATATAAGATAGGCATGCTTATTGCAAACTCCTTATTGCAATCCAATTCATCTCTCAGCATCTATGTCAGGGGTGACAAACTGCCAGCCCACGGGCCGGATGCGTCATGGCAAAACCGTGCCCACGCCATTGCCGGCAATGGGAAAAAAAGTCACGATACGTCACAAAACATCACGTGACGTTGCGAGTTTGACACCCCTGATCTATGGACTGTCCAAAGTTTACCAAAGCAATAATCTAACTTGCATTCTTAAGCAGCTAACATATAAATGAATCAGACTTTTTTGTGTAGAAGAAAGAAGTAAAAAAAGGAAGTAAACAGGGCAATACACACAACATTTTTATTTGTGTGCACAACTGGTGTCTTGCACTTCAGCCCAGTGCCATCTATAAGGGCTGCACAACCCCACTTACTTCCGTGGGAATTGCAGACAGCTGTTAAAGATCATGTGTTCATTTAGCCAAGCTGATAATCATACACAAGGCAGTTTTAGTCTATATATTCTGCTCATGTGCTGCAGGTGACGCATAGCTAACATACCAAGATGAGATTTACATACCACAGTTTAATCAACTATGATATTGAGCCTGCATCTGGTGGGTTTTCTGCAACACAATGAACTATATCTCAGGAATTCATCCATTTTTCTGCTTAGAACCATACATGGATCCATATGTTCAGGGGGCATTATGGTGATGCAATTATCTCACTAACAGTAGAGCAGAATTTGTAAATCAAGTATTGAGTGTTTATTGGAGGCAAAAATAATCGGCTAGTGATATTCATGGCATATGAAAGAGGACTGCCTGTGTTTTGTTTATTGCCTATCTCTGCCATAAACTGTGGTTTACTAGTTACAACTGCGATATCCACCTAATCTGTTAAGACAAAAGGACATGGCTTGAGAGATTGTCTGACAAGAATCGTGTATAATTAACATTCGTCCTAGGTCACCATATCCATTTCTAAACCACAGATAGAGGATTTAGAGTGGGAACAACTCCATCACAACTTTCATCAGCTTCTGTAATTTCCCTGTTAATGTTTAGATAGCTCTCTGCGAATGGAAGGGTTAGTGTTGACTCACTTTAATGCAATATGAGAAGCAATTATCTTCATAGTGCTTACAGCATCTGTGCCTGGGACCATTTTTGCATCTGAAAAAGCAAATAAAACATGTGTTGACTCTCTAGATTTCTTCTGCATTCCACAGGTACCGTATATGTTCCTTTTTTCCTCCAACACCTACAAAGAATTCTCCTATCAGTCCTTCACTATTTGTATTTACCAAGGTTTTATTTACGATACTTAGATGTAGATACCTGTAAAGGTAAGCTTTGAAAATGCAGCACAACTTATACAAATAAAGGCAAAAGCTTTGTTCTAGAGAACCCACAATGGGATATAACAGTGATGGCAAACCTTTTAGAGACCGAGTGCCCAAACTGCAACCCAAAACCCACTTATGTATCGTCGGGTGCTGGGTGGGTGTGGCCCATTGGCTGGGTGTGGCCCATTGGGTAGGTGTGGCCCATTGGGTGGGCACGGCTGCGGTGGTAACAACAGACAGGGTGGGACTAAAAAGTTCAATCAATCAATTCCAACTTTGCAAGATCTTTTTTTTCCCACAAGAAGTTGAAATTGACTGATTGATTGAACCTTTTTTTTTTGCACCCACGGCAGCGGAGGCCTAAAGCAAAAACGTTTTATAAAACCCAGCTGAAGGCCCAGGACTGGGGCGATGGCGCACGTGCCCACAGAGAGGGCTCTGAGTGCCGCCTCTGGCACCCGTGCCATAGGTTCGCCACCACTGGGATATAACAAAGAAACCCACCTATAGGACATAAGAAAAGCAGGATTCGATCAACTCACTGCTCACTGCCAGCAGTTCGAGTCTCACCAGCTCAAGGTTGACCCATCCTTCCATCCTTCTGAAGTCGGTAAAATGAGGGCCCGGATTGTCGGGGGGCAAATATGCTGACTCTGTAAACTGCTTAGAGAGGGCTGTAAAACCACTGTAAAGCGGTATAAAAGTCTAAGTGCTATTGCTATTAAGAACTATATTGACTCCGATATGCAGCCTATGAGCAGAAAACTATGCTTTCAGCCTTATTACTAATTCCAACATCAATTCCTTCTGCGTCTTTTTTTAAAAATAGCAGTGCAGGAATGTATGAATATGTATGCGTTCATTTCCCCCCGCAACAAAAATAGACTAGGACTTTCTCTCATGCCTTCACTTGGCCATCAGAACCTTTTTGCAAACAACACAATCATCCTGGACAGGAAAAAAAAAATATCAGTGACATCTTACAGCTGCGCTCTAAAGACCATGTAACCCCAATCTTCATTTCTAGGTTAATTTTATGGGGGGAAAAGGGACCCCATCAGCTGAGAGATCTGCAGGTAGCCAGGAATGTGTTTGGCACTGTTATACACCTCCCTGAAGAAATATCACAGAGAAAGGGCACAAAGTTAGTTGGGAGATTATATATTTGCCTTTCCAGTTCCAGCAGAGAATCTGTATATAGCCTGCCAAATTTATATTCTTCCGAGTTCACAGGACTTCACTTTCTATAAGCGTTAGAAATGTGCAAATCTGTCATGTGGGATTCCAGCAGTTTTATGGCAGAAAACTGGCAGAGGAATTGAAAATGATAAATACTTCAGGGAAGGCTATCCAGTTGTTAGACATTATCAGCTGGAATTACAAGGAAATCAATTTGATCCCGGTTCTAGAAATGAAAATTTTCTTGCACTCAAATATTTTTGTAGCTGCAGCACAAAACAACATTGCTCAGTCTTCATACTGTGCCAAATATTTTTGGAAGCTTTGAATTATGTGCTGCAAAAGCATATTAGTCATAAATCATCTATCAGGTCCGTTTGTGTAGCAAAAATGGTAATGAGGACATGATCAAGTTACAGACATTTAGACTTAGCTATATCTGAAAGGAAACATATGGGAGAGAAATATGATAGAGGATTAGGATTAAGAACTCAATGGTTTTTTGGGACATGTGCAAATGGGACATTAGAAATACCAAAGGAGGTTTATTCACCTTGTTTGCTGAATGGTCAGGACTTTTTTAAAAAAAATCCCAGCAGTGAGAGATTTTCTTGATGGAGCTGATGGAGCTATTGACTGGGTAGTGATAGCTTTTTGTAATGCTTTGGGTAATTTGCTGTTGAATAAAGTTTCTTATCTGGATTAATCCAAACATGTACCAAATTGAGCTCTTCAGCCTACTAAAAATGGAACACTGGGTCTTTTTTATTTCTGGAACTTCACCGGATGGTTCATTCAAGGAAATATACCAGGAAAAACCAGGAATCTTGACATTTTAGACAGTAAAATGTATCTGACATATTTTTTCTTCTGCTCTGGAAACTAGCAAGAGTAAAATGTTACTGGCTGGTGCTCCCTACTGCTTTAGAGCCATTCTACTTCAGGTTTTCCATTCTACTTCAGAGCCCACGTGATGGCAAACGTACCTAATTCAGGTAGTCCTCGATTTAGTGACCAAAGTTACAATGGCACTGAAAAAAGTGACTTAGGAACATTTTTCACACTTATAACCATTGCAGCATCCCCATGGTCATATCATCAAAATTTGGGATGCTTGGCAACTGGCATGTATTTATGACGGTTGCAGTGTCCTGGAGTCACGTGATCACCTTTTGTGACTTTCTGACAAGCAAAATTAGTGGGGAAGCCAGATTCACTTAACAACAACGTTGCTAACTTAACAAATGCAGATTTTCACTTAACAACTGCGGCAATAAAGGTTAAAAAATGGAAATAAAATTCACTTATAACAATTGTCTTGTTTACCAATAGAAAATTGGGATTCAATTGTGGTCATAAATCAAGGATTACCTCTTCCTATTTTCCCTACAACAATAACCTTGTGAGGTGAGTTGGGCTGAGAAAGAGTAACTTCCCAAAGTCACCCAGCCATATTTTCATGCATAAGGCAGGACTAGAATTCACAGTTTCCTGGTTTCTCGCCTGGTGCCTTAAACCACCAGACCAAAGTGGCTCTCAAATTATAGAAGACCAATTGGGTCCTTTAATTGAAAAGACCTGACCCCAAACCTAATTTTTCCATCTAAAACCAAAGTAGCCGTTCAGCATCTAAATCAGGGGTGTCAAACTCAATTTCATTGAGGGCTGCATCAGCATTGCGGTTGCCCTTGGGGGGTCGGGTGGGTGTGGCCAGGGTGGGTGTGGCCTGCTGGGTGGGTGTGGATAGAGTGGGTGTGGCCTACTGGGTGGGCATGGCCAGCTCTACATCGTTCGTGTCAAGGGTGCCTGTGGGGGCCTGGGCAGGAGTGGGACAGATCTGAGGGTCTCTGGCAGAAGGGAGTGGGACCGGGACAAGCGCCAAGGTATGGTCCATTTCTTCATTCCTCACAAAGGGTGACACCTCCCCAGCATGCACCCAGGAGATGGGGCCGACACAGCAGGAGCTGGTTCCTCACTGTTTCTAGATGGCCTTGTGGAGTTAAGACTGGATGCGTTTCAGCATAGATGGCCACCACAAAATTGTACATTGGCTTCCAGCCAGCCTGGGCCAGGGCCAAGGCAGCAGGGACCGGTCCCTCACTGTTTCCAGGATGGCTTCGCGGGCCACTTGAAACCACTTCGCGGGCCGCATCCAGCCCCCGGGCCTTGCGTTTGACTGTCTGATCTAAATCATTCCTTGATGTCAACAAGTGAATGAAGGGGAAGAAATTAAAACTTAATCTAAAGAACAGAGGTCCCAGTTCCTTTGAGTAGGGTTATAAACTTGGGGATGGCTTCTAGATTTAATCCTGAACTTAGATGCCAAAGTTCTGGATACGGAGATAGAGGGTTCCATAGTTTGGAGAAGTATGCCAACTAGGCCCATTCCCAGAGACCTGTTAACTGATCAATAACTAAACTATATTAGCATTGCTCTATTCCTGTCCCTGTCCCTATCCATTCTACCCTACCCTTATTCTATAATAGTGGGGCTATTTTTAAAGAAGTGTTTGAAAATTTTTAGCCAGCCCAGAATGTATTTTAGTCATCATATCACAAAAAAAGATGTTGAGAGTTTGGAAAAAAAATTCAGAGAAGAGCAACTAAGATGATCAAAGGCCTGGAGACTAAAACATATGAAGAACGGCTACGGGACTTGGGTTTGACTAGTCTAAAGAAAAGAAGAAATAGGGGAGACATGATAGCAGTGTTCCAGTATCTGAGGGGCTGCCACAAAGAAGAGGGGGTCACGTTATTCACCAAAGCACCAGGGGGCAGGACAAGAAAAAATGGTTGCAAACTGATCAAAGAGAGAAGCAACCTAGAATTAAGGAGAAACTTCCTGACAGTGAGGACAATCAACCAGTGGAACAGCTTACCCCCAGAAATCGTGGGCACTCCATCACTGGAGATTTTTAAGAAGAGGCTCGACAGTCACTTGTCTAAGATGGTATAGGTTCTCCTGCTTAAGTGTGGGGCTGGACTAGAAGACCTCCAAGGTCCCTTCCAGCTCTATTCTATTCAACTTTGAATCAAGAACAGTTGAAGGGAGAATATCAGAAGTTTCATTTACCTCACATTTTCTGATATAATTGAAAGTGCTGGTGGTAACCTAAAATCTCACTGACTTGGAACTGGGTGATTCTATCAAAAATCTTGGTGACCTTAACTGTATGGTAAGACTCTGGGGAGTGACCCCTCTGTATGCCCAGACATCTTCAGAACACTACTTGATGAGATGTGAGAACAAAGCTATCTGATCAAATCTCATGCTGAAAAAGGGCCACATTATATTAGATTTGTCGATCTCCTGCCACTTGGCAAGATCACCTTTTCGGTTTTTAAGATCCCTTTGTTGATGTAAGTTTCACTATGGATTTCTATCTATTTCTTATTTGTAAATATGTTTTAATGTGTTTGCTTTAATATTTAATTATAATTGTACAGTTTACCATTCATTTTCTTCTTTTTTGTGTGCACCATTTATAACAGAAAGGTTAGATATGAATCACCTGCTTGCTCCCTGGCAACTAACTGCCATGTTCATTAATTAAAATAATGAGTGGTAATTTTTTTCCATTCAAGACAATTCACTGTATTCTAGCCCCCTGATACAATCAAGTATAAAACAAAACTGGAGGGGGGGCAAGAATTGCAAAAGGAATTTAAAAACCACATGTGATCTTTTGAGGCATTACTACTGAAAAAACCAGAAAATCAATCAATTAATTGTTCATGTGCAATGTACACTCATTACTTGCTCTAAAAAAGGCCATCCCTGACAGATTTGTGAAGTAAACATGAATAAATGGAACGATGTGCGCATGCACAGAATGGGTTCCTCTGTGTGTATATAACGGTGGCAGAATGAGATATGTAAATATTTCAGGTAATCAGCACAAATATTGGGGTCAATATAAAAAAAAGCAGTGTAAGGTTATAATTGCACAAGATAATGTACAGATAAAACAAGACATTACCAAGGATAAAAGTTTTGCACTCACATGTTATCCACAATTTTTTTTGTTGCAGCAATAAAATTCATTTGTTGTGTTATATCTTTGCAGTGTTTTGTTTTTCTTTCTCGCTTTACAAAAGCGCCTTCTGGTACATACGAATGGGTGGGAATTTCTTCTTTCCCTACAATGAATCTGATAAGAAAACAGAACACATTTATTAGCTACCTGTGCTCCTTTATTCCTTTTATAACATATATTTGCAACTGCTTCTAATTATATAACAAAACGGGATATTTACAGTTTGAAACTTTTATGGTAAGGTTTTTAACATTTTGCTAATATGTTGGACATATTAGCTTTTTGCTAATATGTTAGATTTACATAGGCACAAAATGATGTGTTTATTTTTTTAAAAATAGGGAACCCAGCTTATTATTACAAGATTTAATATTCTATTGTAAATGTACCACCGATGACAACAGGACAGTTTGGAAAGTAACAAAAGAATGTACTTCTCTATATATGAAACATGTACAAATATTAACGTCTGGGTTTTTTTTTATCACTTTGTGTGAAGTCATAACAACTTTGTATATTGTGGCCATCCAATATAGAAATGAGGTAACCAAGAGAGAGAGTGTTGTGGGAACATAATGCAGGTAGTCCTTGATTTATGGTCTGTCGCTTAGTGACTATTCAAACTTAGTGATCTCCCAAGGGCTGCTTATAAGCCAGATTCAAAGTTTTGATGCTTCCAACCCTATGGTCGTGTGATCCCATTTTGGGACCTTGGCAAACAGGTTGCATTTATGGTTTTTTTTTTGCAGCATCCGGTGGTCACATCACTGCCATTTATGATTTATTTTGGCAAAACTGGCATTTACTTCTGGTTTCCATCAAAAAAATGCTCACTGCAGAGAACGGATTTGCTTAATGAGCGTGGTGTTTTGTAAAGAATGCAGAGATTGACTTAATGACTGCCACAAAAAAAATTGCAAAATTGGGGACAGTTGCACCGTGACCCACTTAATGAGTGGCACAACTTAGGATTGTAAGTGCCAGGCTTAAATTATGGTCATAAACTGAGGACTCCCTGTAATGAAATTCTGGGCTTCTAGCCCTGACCCACAAAATATTTATTTGTCGAATTTAGATATTGCCGATCTTCAAATATCAATGCCAATGAATCCCCAAAAGAGATTTTCCTAGTCTTTTGAAAATTTATGAGCAGCCTCAGCACCTCTGAGAAGCAATTTAAATATATGTGCCTTGCATACTATTTAATTTTCCCTGTTTCCCCATCCATAATCTTGGGCTCTACGTGTTCTCTAAGTGCAGTGACACAGATGCAATCCAAAAAATACGCCCGGCTGGAAAACTAAAGCTGATTTCATTTAAATCAAACCCAATCAGCATCATATCTGTGGTTTGGTGACATTCACATTACGATTCGAGGACAGGTTTTGCCAGGCCTCTGGTACTCCATTTCTGGATGGCCACATTCTGTCATTTGGGTTGGGTTGTTGCTTGTGCACCAGATTAAATTTGCACAAAACTTCGCTCCATCTGAGTTGGTCAGGCTATTAAGAAGAGATTTGCTTGGATTCGCTTACTTTAGTGCGGAGAATGTAAATCCTTTCAAACCATCCTTGCTCCTGAAATAAAAAAAAATCACATATTTGGGGTATGAGTAACCAAGAACAACCTCACTATAGAGGCAATTTACAACATCATAGTCTTAGAACTTATTTCTCACAGACTTCCAGTCAGTCAGCTTAGGATAATATGTCTGCAGTTACAGGGTTTTTATTATATGTTATAACTTTTCAAGAACACATGTAATGCAAACAGGAGGACAAAAAAAAAACATTCCAAATGACGTTAGCAGCTTCAGCAAGCTTTTGCAAAGCCCAGCTTTGGGGGGAAAAAAAAGTTGTTCTGATTTCCATTTCAACATTTGCCAAACAGTTCCAACATTCTGCCAGCAGGTGTCTCTAATCGGCAGCAATTAATCTTAAAATTACATCAAACTAATAAATTCAATGTTTAGACAGAGTACAGATGGACATTTACACTGACCGCTTTCTCTGAGCTGTTTAACACATTAGTATATTAGCCACCAATTATGAGAGCTGGAAATATGCTTCAAATACAGATTTCCTCTTTAAAGGCCATTTTACCTGAGGGACAATGAGTAATTGAATTTGGTATCTAATAAATTTTGGAGTTGGGTTGAGCCAACAGTTTAAAGGGGAAATTGCAAGAGCATTAAAAAATATTGTTTATATGGTACATGAGTGGCCCTTATAGTGGGATTTGCCTGCTAGCAACATGAATAATCAAGATATGTGAGTTAAGGACCACCATCTGCCTCGTTGTGTAATATTAACAGCAGTTTTTATAATTAATTAAATAAGTCTTTTATGTGACAAACATTAAAATCTGGAGAGGAATTTCTAAACAAAAGCCACCTTGAGTCTGTGTGCACAAAAATGATGTCAATTTATTATTATGTATACATGTATAATATATAATATAAACAAAAGGAGCATGGATTTGGGAAAGGTCTTGAAAAACAAACACAACAATATTTAGGAAACAACAAAACTTCTGTATAAAACGAAAAGGATCTAACTTCCCTTATGAATGTACTCCAGATTGTTCTCATTTTAATACAGATTAGCACTGGTTCCAGTCTTGTACCCTCTAAGTCTAAGATAAACTGCTAGCAATGGCTGTCCGCTTCTGGTATATCCTTCTAAATGTGAACCAATCTGTGATACGCAACGAGACACATTTCTACACAAACCAGTTCATATGGCTGAGATGGGAACCTGCCCAGTTGATGTTGCTGAATTTCAGTTCCAATTTAATTCCATTGGCCATGATGCCTGGGGACATTAGGAGCTGTAGTTCAACATCTGCTGAGCCACAGATATCTTGTGGAGTAGAGTACTGTAAAGGGAATATCCTTTAAACTTTAAACCCAGATGTTGCTTAGGAAGACTTACATTTCTTTACTAGGCATGTTACAATGTGGGAAGAATAAACCTGTCAAAAGGTTTTTGCTCTGACAATGTCAGTGAGAGTTAAAAAAAAAATCAACCCTGAAGATATTTTTATTCTGTATCTCTCAAGCCAAGACACTTTGAATTTGTAGCCCTATTAAGAGATTGATAATATCTAAGAATAGACTAACATTCTTTCCAAGGACAGTGGAATTGAAAGCAAAGTATGTTTGTTACGTATACTGTAGAAGCCCTGAGCAAATAATAATTTATCAGGCTATAATTTGCTGTTAAACCCATCACCATTTTGCATTACCCAAAGAACCTGTCAAGTTGTTTGAGGCTGCAGACACCACCTCTCAGGTCTTCTTCTCCAACCTAGCATTGGCATTCCAGATGTTCCAACCCATCTGGAAAACTCATTTCTGCTGAGTTTATTTTAAGTGTAGAATCAAGATGAAAAGTTTCACTCTACAGTCAATCACTATGTTAACAAACATTGCTTTGTCTGTAACTGCCTACATATAAAATCCCTTATATATCAAGGAAATCCCAACAGTGAAGCTGAAATTATGGCTTAGCCTTGCAATGCTTTGAATCAGCAAAATAACGATTATGGCTTGCTAAATCGACAAAGAAATCTGTACCTTAAGGGGGATCAACTCATCTTTTAAAATCCTGCCAAAATCCACTTTCTTTTTATAGAAAGTCACGCAGTTGTATCCCCGGCCCAGTATCCCTCTTGTCCAGTGGTTCTCAACCTTTTTAATGCCGCGACCCCAACCGGTCGTAAGTCGAGGACTAACCCAGTCGTAAGTCGAGGACTAACCCGGTCGTAAGTCGAGGACTAAACCGGTCATAACTCGAGGACTACCCAACCAGTCGTAAGTCGAAGACTTTCCCTGCCCGGGAGCACCGCGCATGCGTGGTTCCGCCCCCTGCGCCGGCCGAGGCGTAGCTGGCAAGCGGCAGAGACGAAGCAGGCCGACCACCAGCTGGCCCAGCCCAAGGGAGGTAAGGCACCCACTGGAAAAGGGGAAAAAATGGCGGACAAAAAAAATGGACAAAAAAAATGGCCGACAGCCTTGCTTGGCGACCCTCATGAAATGGTCGATCGACCCCAAATGGGGTCCCGACCCACAGGTTGAGAACCACTGCTCTTGTCCACTAAGAGAAGTTCAAATTAATTTGCCAGCAGTTTCTTCATAAAAGTGAAGTTCTCAGTTGGCAAACTGTAGAAAAAGTGGAATTGCTCATGGGTAAGTACATCCTTTCAGAATAACAAGAGTTGGAAGGGACCTTGGAGGTCTTGTAGTCCAACCCCCTGCTCAAGCAGGAGGCCCCCATATCATTTCAGACACATGGCTTTCCAGTCTCTTCTTAAAATCCTGCAGTGTCCGGAACACCTATAGCAGTGGTGGCGAACCTATGGCACGCGTGCCAGAGGCGGTACTCAGAGCCCTCTCTGTGGGCACTTGTGCCATCGCGCCAGCCCCGCCTCCTCCTGCGGCCCCCTCCTTGGCCCGTGCAGAGCAGCGCAGCCAAGGACATGGCAGACGGGCAGCAGGGACAAGACTCTGCCCTTGCGCCCTGTCACGCGCAGATGCTGTGGGGCGCAGGCGGAGGGCGTGGCCACCATGGCGCTACAGGGCTGCCTGGGCAATCTGCTGCAGGCCATGGAGGCGGTGGGTGGTCCTGCGGGTGGGGCTGGGTAGGGGCAGGGCGGGCAGGGGCAGAGTGGGGGTGGGCCAGGGGGCAGGGTGGGTTTTGGGCACTCGGTCTCTAAAAGGTTCACCATCACTGACCTATAGCTTCTGAAGGCAAGCCATTCCAATGGTTAATTGTTCTCACTGTTAGGAAGTTTCTCCTTAATTCCAGGTTGCTTCTCTCCTTGATTAGTTTCCATCCATTGTCTTGCCTTCCGGTGCTTTGGAAAATAGTTGACCCGCTCTTCTTTGTGGCAGCCCCTCAAATATTGGAAGACTGTTATCATGTCACCCCTAGTCTTTCTTTCCCCAAAAAAAACGTGAAACTAAAATTGGCTTATGAGCCAGACCCAGGAACCATAAAAACCTGTCAAATAGGTGACCGTATTATGCATTTGAATCATATGGAGGCAGAAGAGAACAAGTGACTTATGACTGTTTTTCACACTTACGACCGTTGTGGCATCCCCACTGGTCATGTGATCAACATTCCAACACTTGGCAACTGACTCATATTTATGAGGGTTGCAGTGTCCCCAGGGTCATGTGATGACCTTTTGCAACCTTCTGACAAACAAAGGAAGCTAGATCCATTTAACAACTTTTAAGTGTTGTTAACTGAACAACTGCAGCGATTCACTGTGGCAAGTAAAGTCACAAAATGGAGCAAAACTCACTTAACAACTGCCTCACTTAGCAACAGAAATTGGTGGTCTTAAGTCGAGGACTACCTAAGAATAGATTTATGTTTTTCACCCTAAGAGATGATTTAAGAGATGCTTCTAAACCAGCTTGAGTCCCTTGCTTTTCTTTTCGTTGACTCTGGTTGCACCACGTATTAAATAAAGTAAAAAAAAAAAAGCAGCAGGATTTTAAAACAGCTATAAAATTGTACGTCTGTAAGTTATCTGAAGATTACCCAACTCCCTGCTTCTTCATTACATTTAGAAACAGTTGTTTCCTCTCCCAAGAGTATCATTATGCCAGATGTGAATGGAGGACAAGGAGCACATTTACAACCAACACAGATGGACCAAGCATGTAAGCTTCACTGAAAGATACAGGAAAAAGCTATTTTCCCGTGGTGGCCAGCTATCAGGGCCAACAGGGATACTGTCTAAATTTAGTCACAATTGGAGAAGTGAGGAGTGGGCTTGGGGTGGAAAAAAACTTGGAAAAGATTTGCTAACTCTCCTTACTCAAAGGATACACAGACAAGTATACAAGTACAATCTGCAGCTGCTGTATATGGCACATTTCTGATTACAGGAGCTATATTTGCCTCCAGTAACTTCGACCCGCCAATGAGATCTAACCATTTTGTGTCTAGCCACCGACCAAAACTAATTGCTTTTGTACTGGGAATGTGGGTGTACTAATCTTCTCTCCACACCCCCATTGTGAGCGAAGGCGAGAGGTCTCCACACCACTTTGTAGGGCTAAATGTCACCAATTAGCTTTTCCATTTTTTTTTTAAACGTGCCTTGTTGTAAACCTTTCAAAACCTTTCAAAAATTCTCAAGAGCTCCTCCGGTGAGGCTTAATCACTTTAGTAGGGAACAAGCATCACACGCAGCGAAAATTACAAGCATTGTAAGAGGAAATGTAACTTTAGAGAAACGATTATAAAAGTAAAATGTAACTTTCCTTATAAGAAAGCTGTAATTATGGTTATTTTCAGGAAAGCGCAGCTCTAAAGCCTGCCCCGTTCTGTTCTGATTGGGAAAGAGGGAATGGGAAATTCACAATAAATGTCATGCCATGTTACTGGAAGAGAGAACTTTCTGTTATGTTTTGGTAGTGGTTCCTATGTCTTCTAAAACATGCCATTTCGGAGATTATGTTTTAGCTGTCAGAACTCTTTTACCCTAATTAACAACAATTATTGTTGTTCTTGCAGCACAGAGTGGGGCTATAGAAATAGGCAACAGCATTTAAATT